TATAGAAAGTGCTCTTTTTTGGCCCCCACACAGAAGACACTCATTGAACTCAATGAATTTTTATTGCACTATGTTTTTTTCTTAATACGCTGCAGTTTTGAACATGCTCAATGCAGAAAATAATTGATAACTAATTTTAATGCAAATGCTTCAACTACCATACAAAAGGCTGCTTCTGAATGTAAGACGGCCTTAGAGGGGGAGGCATTGGGGAGGCAGGAGGCTATACGCAAAAGGAACTTGAGCAGGCAAACATCTGGTTGTATGCATTATAAATTGCCCTTGTATATAAATAGTGCTGTCATATTATATTTGAAGAGTAAGAAACAGAAGCAGGAGAAAGCAACATTTGCATATTCCCTTCCTATTGTTACCAATCCAGTGAAATAGCCATTTTCTGTATAGTGGCAAACCACCAGCACAGTGGAATTAACAGCACAGTTCTGATTTCTAATACCGTCCAACAAAAAATCCTTATTCTCTGACTGCCAAACAACCAATCAATCAAGGGAGTCAGTTGGCCACTTTGGGTGTGCTGCTTGCCCCCCCCCCCCAATTTTACCACTTACAACAAAACAAGTCACTCTGTTCTCACCAGATATTTTATTGGAAACATTTAAATATTCTGCAGACGTGTTACGCGACTTCCCAAGGAGGAACCTCAACAACATGAACCAATGAAGATTGTAGAGCAGGTTTTTGACTTAGCAAGAGACTCATGAGTGCTCTTCAGCCAGCTTATCAGCCTTTGCCACTGCCTCCTCAATGGGTCCAACCATGTAGAAAGCCTGTTCGGGAAGATGGTCATACTCTCCTGCAAAAGGAGAAAGGAAAGCATGCATCGTCAGACCACAGAATCAGCTAGGATGGAGCAGGAAAAGCAGTGGCTCAGTATACAGGCAATCCTTAGGACAAGACAGCTTCTGTAGGTTTGTTCTTAAGTTGAATTTGTATGTAAGTCAGAACAGGTTCTTTTCAAAGTTCCAGCCAATTTGTTTGGACTTTTTTCACTTTTGCATATCACAGGGAAGGAAAGGGTTAACACTCCTGAAATGTTTCTTTTGTTGTCTGTGCCTGCGATATTTGGATTTTGAAAAATGTGGCTTGTTGTGGAAACAAGGATTGGTGATAACGATTCAGTGGAGACACCCTTTACCCATAACTCTTCCAGGAGTGAATTTCCCTTCTGAGGGGCAGATTTATCTCACTCTTGCTCTTAACTATGTCAAATGCAAGTTGAATGCCTGTAACTTGGGGATGACCTATACTTTGTCTAAGTAAAACTGGGTGTGACCTGCGTCTTGACTATTTGTGCCAATGGTAGAGAGGGCAGAAGTTCTTCCTGTAGGCACCTGAAAAACCTGCTACCACTACCACCATTCCATGAATATCCTGTGTGGATAGGAATCTGCTAGGACAGTGTTTCTCAACCTTCCTAATGCTCCGGCCCCTTAATACAGTTCCTCATGTTGTGGTGACCCCCAACCATAACATTATTTTCATTGCTACTTCAAAACTAATGTTGCTACTGTTATAAAGTATAATGTTATGGTATAATATCTGGTATGCAGGATGTATTTTCATTCATTGGACCAAATTTTACCCGATATGCCCAAATTTGAATACTGGTGGGGTTGGGGGGAGGGAGATTGATTTTGTTTTTCGGGAATTGTAGTTGCTAGGATTTATAGTTCACCTACAATCAAAGAACATTTTGAACTCCACCAACGATGGAATTGAACCTAACATGGCACACAGAACTCTCATGAACAACAAAGAATACTGGGAGGGATTGGTGGACATTGACCCTGAAGGGTCTGACCCTTCAACCTCTGAGGATGCCTGCTATAGATGTGGGCGAAATGTCAGGAGAGAACGCTCTGGAACATCGCCATACAACCTGGAAAACTCACAGTAACCCAGTGATTTCGGCCATGAAAGCCTTCAATAGAAAACAATAAACTGTTTCAAAAAGAGAAGGCACCTGGAGTCTTTAGGGGTCCAAGTGCCATATGTGGACTACAGGCCATACTTTGCCCACCCCTACTTTAGGGTGTGTTCTGTTTTACTTAATCCTCTGTTCTTCCTTTTTATGCTTCTCTTGGAAGCTTCTTGGAGCACTGGTGCACTTTTTAAATAATGTCCAATCCTCCACCTCAGTTTCACATAAAAATACCAACTTCTGCCATTTCTCACAGCTCAGGGACTCCCAAGGACAGAAAATTCATGCACAAATGTACCGGAGTTGCTCATTCTTGTTTTTCAAGCAATCAAAGTATTTTCCTACCTGTCAGGATCTGCTGGAATCCTTTAATAGTTTCCTTCAGCGGTACCAGTTTCCCTGCATAGCCAGTGAAGACCTCAGCTACCTGGAAGGGCTGGGACAAAAATTTCTGTATCTTACGCGCACGGGCCACAGTCAATTTATCCTCTTCAGATAACTCATCCATACCCAAAATAGCAATGATGTCCTGGAGAGACTTATAGTCCTAGAAGATCAAAAAGAGAAATGGATGGAGTCAACACAGGCATGCTGGAACGGCCTAAGTGATGCAGCATTTCTTTTCCACTCTGGCTTTTATATTGCTATTAGTTCCGTAAGTAGTAATCCTTGATGGCTAAAGTTTCCTGCTTCAAAACCTGTCTCTTCCTCCTAACCCACTTCCCTAATGTTAATCTGCCCTCCTTTCCTCCCAGGTGTAGAATTATTTTATATCTATATTCTGCTCTTGCACCTCACCTGCAAGATTTTTTGCACTCCACGGGCCACATCATAATGTTCCTGTCCCACAATATTGGGATCCATGATACGGGAGGTGGAGTCTAGAGGGTCTACCGCTGGATAAATGCCCAGTTCAGCGATGGCACGTGACAGCACAGTGGTGGCATCCAAGTGGGCAAAGGTGGTCGCAGGGGCTGGATCAGTCAAGTCATCAGCTGGTACATAGATGGCCTGGGGAGTGCGGAAGGCGAATAGACTTAGTACAGATTATTACTAAGGAAGACATCCACTGTAACTATGTTGCCTGAGAGCTTTGTATAGTCCTTTAGAAGTAGCTGGTTTGGACTAAAGGGGCATAAAGAGAGATGACAAACACTTTCCCCTGTTCCAGAAATCAGCTATTAATAAAGTCATATGCACAGCCTTTTGGAACTTTTAATTCAAAGTAGAGCAGCAGTCTTGCAAGAGTTGCTACCTGTACTGAGGTGATAGAGCCCTTCTGAGTTGTTGTGATCCTCTCCTGCATGGTACCCATATCAGTTGCCAGAGTAGGCTGGTATCCCACAGCTGAGGGAATTCTGCCCAGCAAAGCTGACACCTGAAAGAAAAGGAACAAGTCATTTTGTAGCCCTTTATTTGAAATGGAGCCCCCAGTAGCGCAGTATGTTAAACCGCTGAGCTGCTGAACTTGCTGACTGAAAGGATTCGCGGTTCGAATTCAGAGAGCAGGGTGAGCTCCTGCTGTTAGCCACAGCTGAGTAGATCAATAGGTACTGCTCCAGCAGGAAGGTAATGGCGCTCCATGCAGTCATGCTGGACACATGACCTTAGAGGTTTCTACAGACAATGCCGGCTCTTCAGTTTTGAAATTAAGATGAACACCAATCACCAGAGCCAGAGACGACTAGATTTAAAGTCAGGGGAAACCTTTACATTTTCTTATTTGAAATTATACTGACAATTACAGGAGCCCATATTTGTCTGCAAAGCCAAAATCTTCTGTGGCCGATGCAAGAACCTCAGGATTCATTCCCTGTATCTAGAATAGTGGTTCCCAACCTTTTTTTTTTTAATGGGGGCCACTCTCCAACATTATGAAGCAGTTTTTGGTCAACTTTCAATTTGGTATGGTTATTTGGGGTGCTGATTCAGAAAACTGCATTGGATAGATCACATCAGCTCTAGTTTCTGATACAGATCATATGCCACCCAGCAGTTGCCATCTGATTGCTCACAGAAAACCATATTTAATAAGCCTCGGCACTATAAGAGGGTTTCACTCTCATTGCAACGGTGTAGTAATGGTGAGGCCACAGACCATATTTTAGTTCTTGCAGACTACTGATGGTCCACAGACCACAGGGTGGAAACCGCTCATCTAGAACAATAAATTTAAATTCCTCCTTAGCTTTTTATCCTACAACTTCAGAAAACAGCCTTGATAGACCAGAAACCCCTTTCTGATTCTAAACCGGAACTGAGGCCTCATGTTTTCCTAATTCTGCTCACTGTAGTCAAGTACATTCAGGCAGATAATTTAGATGATCAAGGCCAGTCTACTCAAGCTTACCTCGGATCCAGCCTGTGTGAATCGGAAGATATTATCAATGAAAAGTAATACATCCTGGCCCTCTTGGTCTCTGAAATATTCAGCCACAGTCAACCCAGTTAGAGCAACCCTAGCACGAGCACCAGGTGGCTCATTCATCTGTCCATAAACAAGAGCGACCTGAGGAGTAAAAGGAGAATAGAGTTAGTTTACTCCAGGCACATCATTATTTGGCTGCAGGTTCCCAGCATCATTATAATAAAAAATGCAATGGAAATAGCCAGAAGCAATGTAGCTACTGGCCCTCCAGGTGTTTTGGACTCTAACTCCCACAATTCACTTTCAGAGAAGACCTATTAAATTCAGAGGGCTTGGCCAAGAAGTTCCAACATTTCAATGGGTTTGCTCCCACCAGAAATAATTTTGGACCGTAATCGATCTTTTCCCAACTGGATCACCTGTCTAGCTGAATCACCTTGGATGTAGTGTCCTTCAGGTTGATGACTCCAGATTCAATCATTTCATGGTACAAGTCATTTCCTTCACGAGTTCTCTCTCCAACACCAGCAAACACGGAGTAGCCACCATGTGCTTTAGCAACATTGTTGATCAGCTCCATGATCAATACTGTCTTGCCTACACCAGCACCACCAAACAGGCCTGGGAAAGAAAGTACTGTTTAGCAGTTTTTATTATATTTCCCACACTATCCCACATCACTCTTGTTTTCCTTCTCAGAAAAGAGAGTTGCTTCAGCAGTTTCAGGAGAACGAAAGTCTTGGGTTTACTCATCAGTGAAGGAAACAAAGCTAAAATCCAGCCAGCAGTACATCGGGATTTAACTGATGCCTGGTTGTTAGTGAAGGACCCTTCCAGGACCTTCCTCACATGAACCTGTTAGAACAACTTACCAATTTTACCACCTTTGGCATAAGGTGCAAGGAGATCCACAACTTTAATGCCGGTGACAAGGATTTCCTGTTCGACACTCATCTCAACAAAGGCTGGTGCTTCAGCATGAATAGCAGCAAACCTGGAGGAGACAGCACACACCTCATCTTAAAAAACTTGTGTCTTGCTTGAATGTTCATAAGGTTATTTATAGACAAAATGGAACTGTACTGTTCAGTGTAAACCTACAAGCCTTCCAGGCTATGCAACACTACAGCACCCTTTATGGTCTTTGCTATTCTTTATGGTCACTATCAGTTTAGTTTAACATTATATTATGTCATTAAGCATGTATTGGAGATTCCAAAATTACTCCATGAAAGACACAGAACAGGAAAGACAAACTCTGATTCTATACAATAGTATCTATGAGCCAAAACGGAATACCGAACCATACATTAGATAACGTTCATTTCCTTTTTTAAAAAAGAAAAGCTAATCTACATATTTATATGCACACCTCTGAACAGAACTTCTATAGTATATCCAATATAGAAGAATCACTCTATAGCTATGTATTTATCATGGTCCTATTTGACATTAGAATTGTTTTGCTTATATATCAGACGTTTCCTCAGAAAGACAAAAGAGGTGTACATTCAAAGGATGATAAGTGTTTTATCCACTTGCTATCTTCTGCTACTGACAGAAAGTGCCCTGATGCTCTGATCAACAAAGGCTTCTATTGGTGATGTTCTGGCACACTGCAATTTCTTGTACACTTTTAGATTTGCCTTCAGAGGGACGTCATACTTTTTAAACCACTGTGGGAGGTGACATAGGAATGGAAAATGGTTAAGATCTATGTACTATGGACCTGATAAGCTTTCCATCAACAAACTGATACAACCCTATGAAAGTATCTGCGGAACAGCGGAGATCCTCAAAGTGACATACTCTTCAGATTCCTGTGAACTGTGGGAAGACTTTGTTATCTAATCATAGTAGCCATAGACTAAAACTGTGAAAGAGATTCTCTAAAAATTTAGATGAATCTATGAAACTGCTTTTATTACTGCACTATTAACAATTATTGCCTTATGATTAATTTTTCAGATGCCCACTTACTGTTTCGTTGTTATGGGGCCTCTCTCATCAATTGGTTCTCCAATCACGTTCATGATTCTTCCCAGGGTCTCAGGTCCTACAGGGATTCTAATGGGGGCACCTAAATCCAAAACTTTTTGGCCTCTCACCAAGCCTTCAGTACCATCCATAGCAATGGTACGAACAGTATTCTCACCTGCAACAAAAGAAGATGGTCGTTTTACTACGTTAGTAATTGAACAGTGGAACTACATCCCAATACTCAAAGAAGTAAGTTCTCCTCTCTATGCTTAACTTGAACGGTAAAGCTATTAAAGTAGGGATACTGAATGCATTTAACAAACATTCATCACTACTGCTGATTGAGGCTGATACAGTTTATAGTCTCATATCTGGAAAACCCCTATAGATGTACTGAAAAAAAGAACTTCTAATGAAATGATATAAGAACTTTTTGAAACAAAAAATAGTTTCCCTCTTCAAAGATAACAGAGACCAAAAAGCTACCATCCATCACCTCAAACTGCCATTGCCAGTAGCATTCACCTGAGCTTTGAATATAACACACCATAGACCAATATGCTACCATACTGATCAAAGATGCCAGCCTACATGGTTTTCTTCCCAGCTGTCATGTATGGACTCATTTCCTTCTCAGATCATAAACATGGCTTCAGCAAGCTCAGAAGAACGAAAGTCATATTTTACAGATCATCAAGGAAGGAAAGAGTTAAGCATGACTGCAAAGAGAGCAAGTACATTAGATGCTTACCTAAGTGCTGTGCTACCTCCAGGACCAGCCGTGTGTCTCTGCCTTGTACTTCCAGAGCATTGAGGATGGGTGGCAGGGCTTCGTCAAACTGGACATCCACCACAGCACCAATGACGGCAACAATGCGCCCTGTAGCCATTCCAGCTTTAGCTGCAGGTGCTGTTTGTGCAGCATAGTTTCGGCCTACAAAATTACAACAAACAACTTAAGTCAAAATATGAAACACCTTTTTTTCTTTCATACTTCTAACAGCGATCAAAGAAAGGAAGTCTCTCCAGGGAGTCACACTTGCAATTTCCTCTCTTATGATGTAGACAACATCAGAATAAAGATTTGATTGTATTGTTTATTCCCAACATCTTGAGGTCGCTGATCTAGGGAACTACATAGGCAAAACCCTTATGGTGCAGCGAGCAGAGAATCCATTGCTTCCAAGTGTCATTCCTTCAGTATACCCAGAATGGAGGTGGAGAAATGACCTTATTACTGCTTTAATCTGTCAGGTTTCCCAACTTTTTAACCCTCAATTTCTGTGTTAATAATTCATGTACACTGTTGGTAATTCACACACACACACACGACTTCCAAGGTTTAAAAGAGCCCTAACTGCCCACTTTACAATTGATTTGAAAAATCTGTAAAGCTGGATATGAAATCTGGCACCAGCATGAGCCTTAGATCCAACAGTGTACAGACCTAAATTTAAAAGACAATTCTCAGCTATCATGACAACTAACCTCCATCAGATGTTTTAAACATTTAACTACCTTTAGACCAGTGTTTCTCAACCTGGAGGTCATGAGGGGGTGTCAGAGGGATCACCAAAGACCATCAGAAAACACAGTATTTTCTGTTGGTCATGGTGGTCCTGTGTGGGAAGTTTGACCCAATTCTATCATTGGTGGGATTCAGCATGCTCTTTGATTGTAGGTGAACTATAAATCCCAGGAACGACAACTCCCAAATGCTAAGGTTTATTTTACCCAAACTCCACCACATTTGGGCATATTGAGCATTTGTGCCAAGTTTGGTCCAGATCCATCGTTGTTTGAGTCCACAGTGCTCTCTGGATGTTGGTGAACTACAACTCCAAAACTCAAGATCAAGGCCCACCAAACCCTTCCAGTATTTTCTGTTAGTCATGGGAGTCCTGTTTGCCAAGACTGGATCAATTCCATCATGGTGGTGTTCAAAATGATTGTAGGTGAACTATAAATCCCAGCAACTACAACTCCCAAATGAAAAAATCAATCCCCTCTGAACCGCACCAGTATTCAGATTTGGGCATATCAGGTATTTGTGCCAAATTTTTGGTCCAGTGAATGAAAATACATCTTGCATAATGAATATTTACATTACGATTCATAACAGTAGCAAAGTTATAGTTATGCAATAGTAATGAAAATAATTTTATGACTGGGGGTCACCACAACATGAGGAACCGTATTAAAGGGTCGTGGCATTAGGAAGGCTGAGAAACAATGCATTAGACCCAGCAGGCGTGATCAATCATTAACAATGGTGGAAGCTGTAATAAAAAAAACAACCCAGGAAGATGTCAAGTTGGAAACGACTGCTCTTCTTTAGTTAGCCCTATGCTGTCTTTTATACTCCTTCCTTGCATAGGGTCTTTAACTCAAAAATCAAGTTTTGAAGAACATTGGCATACTTCAAAGCTGCTGTTTAGGCATAATTATCAACATAATAATAATAATAACAACTCTTTCACCATTCCATACAGCCATGATCCAGTAATTCACAACCACATATTTGGCCTTCTGCACAACCTCTACCTCTGGCTGCTTTTCAGTAAAAGTCATGGCCCATCAGTGTACAGGTTCTCTTCTTCCAGGCCTTCCTTAAAAGTGTTTGTTAGCATAAGTTACTTGAAGGATTCCAGCCACTGGCATCTATACCTTGTCTTCACTTTTGCACAATTACAGACGCCTCATTTGTGCGTAGAGTAGGCCTCTTCACAAATTGTGGCCCTCTTCACAAATTGTGGGCCTCAACTCCCAGAAGCCCTCACCAGCTTGTTCAATGGTCAGGAATCCTGGGAATTGGAAGCCCAAACAGCTGGAGGGCCGTAGTTGGAGGTCTGTCCCAGAGAGAAGGCGGCCTCTCTCCTGTCCTTGGGTGCATCCTAGGACCTTGTTATACTCCACAATGCAGAAAAAATATATATCATTCCAGTGGTAGACTTTTTTTTTAAATAGATCAACACTGTAGATCAGGGGTCCTCAAACTTTTTAAACATAGGGCCAGGTCACAGTCCCTCAAACTGTTGGAGGGCCGGATTATAATTTGAAAAAAACATGAATGAATTCCGTATCTTATTTGTAGTTCAAAACACACTTAAAACAATACAATAATAAAAATGATGAACAATTTTAACAAATATAAATTTATTAGTATTTCAATGGGAAGTATGGGCCTGCTTTTGGCTGATAAGACTGTTGTTCTTGTTGTGTGCTTTCAAGTAGTTTCAAACTTAGGTTGACTCTGAACGAGGGCTGGGTAAATGACCTTGGAGGGCCGTATCCAGTCCCTGGGCCTTAGTTTGAGGACCCCTGTTGTAGATACAGTGGTTCTCAACCTGTGGGTCCCCAGGTGTTTTGGCCTACAACCTCCAGAAATCCCAGCCAGTTTACTAACTGTTAGGATTTCTGGAACGCCAAAACATCTGGGGATCCACAGGTTGCAAAATAAATGCAATTTGACGCCACATCAACTGCCGTGGCTCAGTGCTGTGGAATCCTGGGATTTGTAGTTTGGTGAGGTACCAGCACTCTTTGGCAGCGAAGGCTAAAGACGTTGCAAAACTATAACTCCCAGGATGCCATGGCAGTTAAAGTGGGATCAAAGTGTATCCATTCTACGGTTTAGATGCACCTTTGCAAGGCAGCCCTACAAAATGGAGGCCGAGGTGGCCTGCCTCAATGTCACAGCTGCTGCAACCTCGCTGAATCGGGCACCACTTGCCATGGGATCCAATGGGTGTCACCTAGCTGGGTCTATAACAGATATGGACAAACTTAGGCCCTCCGGGTGTTTTGGACTTCAACTCCCACAATTCCTAGCAGCCTCAGGCCCTTTCCTTTTCCTCCTCAGCCGCTTAGGAATTGTGGGAGTTGAAGTCCAAAACACCTGGAGAGCCCAAGTTTGCCCATGCCTGGTTCATAATATCTTCTTCCTGCCTCACTTCAGCGGGTGATCCTGGGCAGATCCCACTCTCTCCGCCTCAGAAAACCCCTCGGGATCGCCATGAATCAGAAGGCCTCACAGCTACAACACTCCTCCCATTAAAGTAGCATTCCAAGCTCCGAAGGAAGGAGGGCCTCTCCTGCTATTGTCCAAAGCAATAAACGGAGAGCGCTCTGAGCCGGGAGAAGGCCTTGGGCCTCCGTTCCCGCCACTAGGCCCCAAGGTGACCCCGCCCTCGCGTGGCCTCCTCCTTCCTCCCCCGACTCACGGGCCTCGGTGGCGGAGGCGACGGCCCCGCTGCGAAGCTGGAGCAGGTCCTGGAGCGGCCTCGTCCCGCTCCTCGCCCCGCGCAGGAGGGAGGCGGCCGAGGCGGCGCAGCGGCGACCAGCAAAGCTCAACATGGCGGCCACCGGCGGACTGAGAGAGCGGAGCCGCAGTGCCAACCTCGTCCAGGTCCAGGGGGAAGAGGGAGGGTCCCGGTTCTCTTATTGGTTGGGTGGGTCCGCTTCCTCATGCCTATTGGCTGAACGTTCTTGTCACTCGTCTGGGAACGCACTCGCTGGTTGGGAAGGGTTTTGCTCCCACCTCGCTACAGCCTTGTCCTATTTGGTGCTTTTCAGTCTCTAGCCTTTCTGCCACTGGGTGAAATTAACGTCTTTCAATGAAATCCTGCTCGGCTATTGGGCAGAATTGAATTCCCACCCCCTTACGAATATGATTGGCCAATGCATAGGAAATAGGCGGGCATTCCCTCTAAAGTCACCGAGCGTCTGTGCGGAATGGAGCACGTGTCCTCAATTTGCCCTTGCCAACCAAATACGAAGTTCTCCGTACTTCCTTAGGCCACAGGAAGTGCGAGAGACCACCCATGAAAGAGAATTGGGAGTATGACAAGGGAAGGCCACTTCAAATGTTCACTGCCAAATCCAAGCTCGGCCTGAATGCAACTTTATTCCCTCTGCAACCATAACCAGGGTTCATCCACACTACAAATAATGGAGTTTGGCCCCACTTTAACTGCTGGCCTGAGTATTATAGACTCATGGGAGTCTATAGTACTCGGGCGAGGCTTCCTCAGTAATTGGCAGTGAAAGTTGAATTCATACAACTATAGTTTCCAGGACTCAGTATTGAGCCATGGTGTCAATCTGCATTCCACAATATCGAGGCATCGCATTGTTTAGAGCCATCATTTCCTGGACACAATCCTCCTTTCCCACTGCAATCCCCCTTTTCTCTCTGGTTTTGTGCACAGTAAACCTGGAAATCAGGAGACACTTCTTGGGAGGAGAGCAATGTCCAATTTCGATAAAATATTGAAGAGTAGAGACATCACACTGGAAACGAAGATCTGCATAATTAAAGCAATTGTATTCACCTTAGTCACCTACGGATATGAGAGCTGGACCATAGGGAAGGCTAGGCGAAGGAAGATAGATGCTTTTGAGCTGTGGTGCTGGAGGAAAGTGCTGAGAGTGCCTTGGACTGCGAGAAGATCCAACCAGTCCATCCTCCAGGAAATAAAGCCCGACTGCTCATTGGAAGGAAGGATATTAGAGGCAAAGATGAAGTACTTTGGCCACATCATGAGAAGAAAGGAAAGCTTGTAAAAGACAATTATGCTGGGGGAAAAGGAAGGAAAAAGGAAGAGGGGCCAACAAAGGGCAAGATGGATGGATGGCATTCTTGAAGTGACTGGCTTGATCTTGGAGGAACTGCGGGTGGCCACGACCGACAGGGAGCTCTGGTGTGGGCTAGTTCATGAGGTCACAAAGAGTCGGAAGCAACTGAATGAGTAAATAAAAGCTGAGGGCAAGAAATAATCAAATTAAAATTCTCATATTAACCATCTTTAAACCACTCTCAGAGATATTTTGGCTGAAGGGTGGGGTATAAATCCACTAAATAAATACATAGAGTAAATACTATGAGAGTAACACAATGTAGGCATGCATTACATCAAAGCCTTGGTTCCAACAATCAAATTTTGATTGCAATACTGTTGTTATTGTTGTATAACCACTGTATGAACCGGGGATGGGTACCCAGATTTAATATAAGGCACATAACAGATATTTTTATTGAATTGGATATACTGTATTTAAAAGGAGACAGGACAAATTTACAGAGGATATGACTACTCATCATGGCATACATATATATGTGTGTGTGTGCGCACGCATGTACAGGTGTGTGCCATGATGAATATATATTCTGCAGTAACAGAATCAGGATGCCTCCCACTATCAGTTACCAGAGAGCCCCTTCATGCTTTGGTTTAAGCTTCCTATAAGCATCTCTGATGGACCCCTATGTCAATAAATGTTGGACTAGAATCATAGAATGATAGAGTTGAAAGAAACCTCGTGGGCCATGCAGTCCAACCCCATTCTGCCAAGAAGCAGGAAAATCGCATTCAAAGCACCCCCAACAAATGGCCATCCAGCCTTTTTAAAAGCTTCCAAAGAAGGAGCCTCAACCACACTCTAAAGCAGAGAGTTCCACTGCTCTCACAGTTAGGAAGTTCTTCCTCATGTTCAGGTGGAATCTCCTTTCGTGTAGTTTGAAGTCATTGTTCCGAGTCCTGGTCTCCAGGGCAGCAGGAAACAAGCCTGCTCCTTCCTCCCTATGACTTCCCATGTCTCCTCTCAGCCTTCTCTTCTGCACGCAAAACAGCTCTTTATGCCACTTCTCATAGGGCTTGTTCTCCGCCCTCTTCTAGACACATTCCAGCTTGTCAACATGTCCCTTAAATTGCGATATCCAGAATTGGACACAGCATTCCAGGTGTGGTCTGGTCAAGGCAGAATAGAGAAGTAGCAGGGCATCCCTGGATCTAGACACTATACTCCTATTGATGCAGGCCAAATCTCATTGGCTTTTTTAGCTGCTGCATAACATTGTTGTTATGCAGCATGTTTAACTTGTCCATGAGGACTCCAAGATCTTTTTCACATGTATCTCTGTTGTTGATCCAAGCATCCCCCATTCTGTATCCTAAGAGGACTAGGTAGGCCTTTGGACTGATCCATCATAATTCTTCTTATGTTCTACATTTAAGAGCAGCTGAAACTAGGCAAGTGTCAACCAGACTGTTTTAAATGCATGTGAAGCAGTCAGATAGAAACTGAGCGACACGGAATAATTTAGGACGTCTTTTTTATAATATGCTTTCTGAAAGCTGTTTTTGAGCTGAATAAAATTATGAGAGAATAGACAGTGCTATGTTTTTAGGCTTTGTTTTTAATTCTCATATTATTTTAATACACAATTTTACAACGGAAAAACATATAGAAGACATAGAGGATCTTCAGCTCCTCTAAAAATGCAAGTTGCCCCTAAGGAATAGGAACCATGGGTTTGAGACATGCTGAAATATTTCTTTCCTGAAGCTAAGGTCCATAAGAATAGTGTGGATCCCAAGGCCTTTATACCTGACTGCCCTGGAACTCTTATACACAAGGGACAGTGTTGTTTAATCAGATAAATTATCCTAAAGCCAGAAGCTGGTCAAGGAACAGAAGGGTAAGTTGTCAGCAAGAAATGCACCCATTTTTCCATGGAAGATAATACCAACTTGGTAGATTCCTGTTTGCAAAAGATCCCACAATCAAGAAATCAAGGCATTTGATCTAACTTCAGTTTTAGGGCTCACGATGAGCACCAGTCTTGGAACTATCACACAGAATACATTAGGAAAATAGTCACAACATATTCATTCCATTTTTGCCTATAAAGATATGCAGTGGAGTTCATTTAATGGAGCAAAGACAACTGAAAAAGAAGACTGAAGGAGGAATCCTAGTTTTCATTCCCTATTATGAGGGAGGGAGCCTGGGATGTCAAGGTGTAGTGCACAAAGCTAGTTCCAGTCTTGTGGTTGTGGCGCTCATGAAACAGAATAGGACACTCCTGGATTTTCTAGGAGGAGTGCTGGTTTGGTTTAGGGACTTGGTGACAGCAAAAAGCCAGCTGTTTATGTTGCTTCCCTAAAATGTCAGCTCCAGCATCCCATGGATGTCAAAGTGCCAGGGTGTCTTTGATGAGGCGCCGCATGGTGGTAGTGACAGAGGTTCCCAGTGAGTCAGTGATCTGGTAAGAAATCTTGTACAAGTAGGGCTGGACATCCCGCAGTCCTGTATCAAAGACATTGTCCACCTCAGACTGCGTAGGCATCTTGGGCAGGTATTCGTGCCGGTTCATCACTTCCACAATGTTGATGATTTTTTCACAGAGTTTCTCACCCACCTTCTCCCGACAGATCTGTCGCTCCTGTTCGTTAGCTAGGCTCACCACGTTCACTTTGATTGTCCAAACTTCCCAAGGGATGCACTCATCCGAAAAGGGCCATCGTGATTTTTTCTTCTGGTAAAACTCTAGGGAGATCTGGCCCATCCCATCGTTGCCTGAATTCCGCAGTGCATCCTAGGTAAAGAAAAGAGAGCAATAGGCCTTGGTTTTCCAAGTTTCCATTATGACACAGAGAAGAAATCACTATCCCCAGTGCAATAAGTGAAAGCAGAATGGTACAATGACAATTGCAATGGCCTCAGACAATAGTGTTGGATTACGTGATTTTAATAAGTGGCTTTAATGTTTGATATGTTTTTAGCAGTTGGTTTTAATGTATATGTTTATTTTGTCAGATGCATGTTGTGTGGCATTGAATTCTACTTTATATGTGAGATGCTCTGAATCCCCTTTGGGGTGAGCAGGGCAGGGTATAATATGGCAAATTAATAATAAATAAATATCCCTTGTACTAAGAATCATAATTCTTTATCAAAATTTCCTGTGTAACTATAGCCAGAAGCCAAGACAAACATATCCTTGGAATGGAAAGGCACATGAATGATGTGATGCTGGACCAAAACATTTGGTGTTGTACACATGGTGATTGCCACGGATAGTGTTTCCATGTAACAGTGACCTAGAGGAAAAGAAGTTGGGATCCTGTCCAACAACTGTATGGCCCAAATTACTCCTAGCACTGAGTCTACAAAGCCTTCTCTGGTCATAAACATTATTTAAAGCAATGTGTTATATTTAAGAGCAGACATGTAAATGATTGTATGGGGCTTCGTATTTTAACACACAATCCTCTGCACAGGTGGAAAAGTCTTAGGATGCTGACATACATCAAATTCTTGCCATGCCATTTCAATACAGAGGCATTCCACTTATGATTGCAATCTATTTATTATATCCTGTCCTAAAACAAATGCACTCAATAAAATTCACAGTCAATTAAAATAATAAAATCAGAAACAGAATTAACAAGTAGCAAACCACCAGTAATTGACATCATTTTAAAAGAATCTTAAAAGAACAATTAATAAAAATAAACCAAAAATACATCTCATTTCCACAGCTCTCTACAATGTAGGCAGTGTTATGGCCAAATATACCCCCCTCCCCTGCAGAGGCTATTCCAAAATCTGTATGCCACAACTACAAAAATCTCTTCCACATTTACTTTGTATGTAAATCAGTTAAAACACATAGAAGACGAATGGAATTCTTAGATAGATTTATGCAGGAGAAGCAGATTCCAGAAATGTCCCACTCCTAAGTTTTCTTGGCTTTCTAGCTTAAAATCATCCCCTTGAGTCTGGAAACAACTTGGTAAGCAGTGCAGACAGTCTACTTGCTGCAGGAGAGACCCTTTGGGGCCTGCTTGACATTGTGAATAAAAGAAGTTCATCTTCCTGGACCACATAGCGATTAAACATGTTTACAAAATAATCACAGAACAAAAACCTTTACCTTAAATTCCCCAACAGCTTTTCTCAATGCCCGGTCAAGTTCCTCTGAAGAGACCCTGACATAGGTGAAGTCAATGAAGTCACAGTCAACGTCTTGTGTGCCAACTGTCCCAATAGAATAGGTCCCTTCCTTCTTGTAATGGAACTTCCCTGTGCTGCGATGGAGCAAGATGGTGTGCAAAACAGCCAGCATGGCCTCCTCAATTTGGCGGCCCTCAACTGATATCTCCAGCACCTCTGAGCGACAGTTCATCTTGACTTTTGCAAAGGTAAACAGCTAGCCTTCTCTCTACTAAAACAAGAGTACAAGCAAAACAGATCAATGCATTTTCTATGAAGGATGGGAAGGTTCAAGACTAAATATTATATTTTTATTAAAGCAAAATGAAATCTTGTAATCAAGGAAAAGCTGTTTTTAGTTTTGTGATTAGGAGAAAAGAGGAAACTAGATACTCAACATTGCACAGCCACTTTTTTATATACCATTCAATTAATGCAATAAAATCAACAAATGGCTTAAATGGGGGAAAGTATCCATTTTTAAAAAAAATCATACTATTTTTTTCTTAGCTAACTAAAGCAATGTTTGTATTATCAGCATCTGTTGAGAGAACAGCCAATTTTGACAAGATAATGATCATAATCTATATTCTCTCCAATATGTGTGTGCATATGTATGGATGTGTGCATGCATGAACACCTGTATGTTACTGGATAACACTTTCTGCATGTGATAAAGTAGATTGCAGTCCATACAATATATTTTAATAAAGCTGTTTGCCTGAGAAGCACAACTGTAGAGTCTATCTCATATAAGGGATAATTTCCCCCTCTCTAAATGTGTCATGGACTAGTACTCTACTTAGGTCCATTGGCTGCAATTGTTTCTTTCATTCCTGGAGCCTTGCTTTTTGGGGATCGGTAGTTGATGACATTCAGCCAACAAAAGCCACGAGCCTTCATTTTTAGTAGTGCTGGTTTAGAAGATTCTGTTAATTTTTCATTGTGGGGCAGAAAGGCAGGACAGTCAGATGAAACTTCCCTCTTTTATGCAACTTTTAATAGCTGAGGAATATTGCCAAGCTTTGCATCTAATCATCATACACAGAAGAAGCTTTTTGGAAGAACTAGAATAAACAAGAAAACAACTGCAGTAGGGGTTCAAAAACACAAACAATAAGCTATTCTCCATGAATAATTAAAGAAAAACGGTGGCATTGGTGGTAGACATGCAGCCAGGATGAATTTTCTATGGGCACGCCTTTTCCAAAACTAAAACACAGTCTGATAGAACGAGATACTGCCTTCTTTTATGAAGACTGTTTAAATATAGTGGACCCCTGGTATCTGCTGGGGTTTGGTTTCAGAACCTGGCTCCACATGGATACCAAAGTCTGCAGGATGCTCAAGTCCTATTATAAACAGTGGATAGTAATATGACATCCCTTATATCAAATGGCAAAATCAAATCTTTATTTTTGAATGTTTTTAAAAAAACAAACAAAAACAAAACCATGGTTGGTTGAATCCATGAATGAGAAATCTGTGGCTATGGAAGACTGGCTGTAATTGGTTTCAAACAAGTGTCCAGATTGTTAAGGTATACAGAAAATGGAGTGAGTTTTGCAAGCATCAACATCAAGGCTGGAGTTCATTAAGACCTGTAAGTTTGGGCACACCTGGTGAAGTATAACTTGGTGTGGTTCTTGTGGGTTTTTTGGGGCTATAGGGCCATGTTCTAGAGGCATTTCTCCTGACGTTTCGCCTGCATCTATGGCAAGCATCCTCAGAGGTAGTGAGGTCTGTTGGAACTAGGAAAAAGGGGTTTATATATCTGTGGAATGACCAGGGTGGGACTCTTGTCTGCTGGAGCTAGGTGTGAATGTTTCAACTGACCACCTTCATTAGCATTTGAAGGCCTGCCTGAGCCTGGGAAAATCTCTTGCTGGGAGGTGTTAATCTGTGCCTGGTTGTTTCCTCTCTGTTGTTTTGCTGTTGTAATTTTAGAGTTATTTTAATACTGGTAGCCAGATTTTGTTCATTTTCATGGTCTCTTCCTTTCTGTTGAAATTGTCCACATGCTTGTGGAAATAACTTGGTGTGTTTTGGGATACATGGTGCTTTCTCCCTTGGGAGTTGGAGAAGCCATGTTCTCTGCGTTTATGTGATGCATACAAGGGCTATGTAAGTTTTGTTACTCTGTAGAATTTATTTTTGATGCAATGCCACAAGTCTATGTTTTTGATTCTGCTGAATAAGAGTAAATTTATGTTTCCTCTTTCATCTGTGTGAAGCTACTGTGTCTTTGATGCACTATGTTACACATAAACCACAACACAGACTGCCCCCTAGTGGTTTCCAATGTAGTTTCAGTTTCGAAAATTTGAATACCCTGCACATTTATTCATTTATTTGCATAGATTATTCAGTGCCCAATTAACATCTGCTACAGGAGTACTGGAGTACTGTGATTGGGCCATGCAGAAATTAGTCACACTTGGCAGAATCCAGTGGTATACTTCAGGTAGATTTTGGCAACTTCCTTCCAGAAATCTCCATCCCACACTATCTAAAATACAGCCTTACAGGATTAGGGGCCCCTATGGAACTGTTTCTTATACAACAGAAGGCTGCAGCAGAAGAGGTAAGTCCGAATTCTCCTATCAAATGACCCCGTTGGGTCCTGGTCATTATGATTATGCAGAAAAAAACACAGGTAAAACAGAAGGGGTTTTCTAATTCCCTGTTAGAGGTAAGATCAAGAAATGCTTTTCAGTCGTGGACAAAGGCAAAATTATGTTGGTTACATTAATACAGCGCTTCTCACAGATTACTATTTTAAATCTTGTTTAGAAAACCCGCTGAGACTTTCATCTTATGCATCATTCAGGTTTAGTCCCACTGAGTTCAATCGCAGACTTTGGGATAATGATGCACAGAAACAGGTTCCATATGACCCTGATCCTTTTATTTGTTTTGATACTGAGGTACAGTTATGCCTCTTGCTTACTTTGTTATCTACCTACATGAGACACAGCACTGCTTAAGACTCTTGTGAAACAAAACAAGTCATATCCCACATATTATGATGCACTTTTTTAAAAAACCAGAATATTCACATAGCAGTACAATTAAAACAAGTATTCTTATTGCACCCATTGAATCTGTACCTCAGCTATGTTTCTTTCAGCAGTATTGTTTTCATATTGCTTTCAATTGTGTTGTTATTTGTTTTATTTGATGTTTTAATTGGTTAACGTGTTTTATATGTGTGTTTTAATTGTAATCTTGGGCATGCCCCTTGTAAGCCGCCCCAAGTCCCCTAGGAGAGATGGTTGGCGGGGTATAAAAATAAAGTTATTATTATAATATTATTATCACACTAATTATACAAGACTAAGGAAGATCTAGTGGAATGTTTCTTTGGAGTGTCGGTATGCAAGACGCATGGGTATTGCATCCACAGGTAAACGATTGTGCTTTTTTACATTTCTCAAAGTTGTAGTGGTAGCAATGGATCTCTATGATGGAAACTTGAATAGCATGCACACTTTTTTATCGTGTCAGAAGCGACTTGAGAACATACTGCAGGTCGCTTCTGGTTCTGAATTGGTTGTCTACAAAGACATTGCCTAGGGGACTCCTGGATGTGTTACTATCCCGTGGGAGGCTTCTCTCATGTACCTGCATGGAAAGCAGAGGCTGACTAACAGGAACACGTCCCATCTCACGGATTTGAACCACCGACTTTCAGGTCAGAAGTTCAGCCAGCACAAGTGTTTAACCCATTGCACCACCGTGGCTCACTAAATATGGGAAATACAATCAAAGCAAGCTATGTTGTAAGAAACTGGAGCATAAATTGTTTTCTGTTTTTGATGTGTTCCATATTCTTTATAGTGTTGTAAAGACCCCTAAAGAATAGAGGCCAAAACAGGTCGGCCATATTAAATACCTTGGTTATTTTGAGAATTATTTGTTTCCCCCTCTTTTTGGCTACCTTTATTGGTTTCATCTCTTCATAATCTGAGAAATAACTAAGTGTGGATCTTCACTGTACAACTAATGCAGTTTGGAAGTTTATTATTTATTTATTTATTTCTTATACTTGTATACCGCCGTTTCTCAGCCTGACCGGCGACTCAACGCGGTTTACAACAAGATAAAATCCACAACAATATACAATGTAAAACCACAAAGGCGTAAAATACAATATTAATGTAACAATAAACAACAACATACATCTCATAACTAAAATCATGATCCAGTTCGTCGTCCGATTTTCCAATTCCTGTAATCATCACATTGGTTGCACTGTTTAACCGAATGCTCGTTCAAACAGTTTAACTGCTATGGCTCTGTGCTATGGAATCATGGGAGTTGTAGTTTAGTGAAGCCCCAGCATTTTACAGCAGAGGAAGCTTTACCAAATGACAGTACCAGAATCTTGCAGCATTGAGCCATGGCAGTTAAAGCGGTGTCAAACTGCATTCATTCTACAGTGCAGATACACCTTAAAGACCCTATTTTTCCATAGAGGCTCACTAGATATTCTAATGGAAAACCTACATACATGTATAAATACACACCATCTTAATGAAAGCAGTAAGATTAGGGTTTGGGAGATCTGAGTTCAAATCCTGGGTCAGTTACTACCTGTCAGCCCAATTCAAGTAAGGAAACAGCAACGATAAACCCGCATAGCATTGGGACCCAATTCCTGGAAGACCTGCTCTGTTTCCATCCAGGCCAATGAAGGGGAAAAAGAAGGCCCACTAGTAACCAAGGCAACGGAGAAGAGGGAGGGCGCATTACTTCATGGGGGGGGGGCATCAAAAAGCAAGGCACTCACCCCCCTTCCTTAGACGAGAATTAGGCTCACCTTTTGCTGCGTCTCCGGGCGAACAACTTAACCTTTGGACCAGGCCAACGGAAGCAGGACGGGAGGGGACAGACCCCAAACCTCCATTTATATTTTCGGAAGAAGCTGACACTATTCTTTCCTCTGCGTCCTCTTAAATATATATGTCGGTATTATAGTGTGACGCTCTCCTATTCTGTTTATGAACAGGCCCCGCTTTTCACCTCTTTCCTTTTGCTTCTTTTCTGTCCTCCCCCCTCTTGCTTTTGGTACGTTCCAAGAAAACAAACCGCAGCGACTGAAGTGGGAGGAAACGTCACAAGGCAGCAGCTTCCGGGTTCTATGAAATCCAGAAGCTCTCTGCTGACCCCTCTCGGTTGAAGGTGGAGTTGCTAGTTTCTAGGGGTTTTTTTCTAGTAAAAAAACACCCCACACGATTGTTTCAATGCAGAGCTTTCCAAACATTTTGGTGACACAGATTTTAGACATGCATCATTTCACGACACAATAATTCATTTTTACTAACAAACACAAGAGTACACCAAGCCCTTATAAGCACTAAGAACACATAAGTAAACTGTAATCACTTGAGGTATGGGGAAACAATGTATCTCATAAAAACATTTCTTTTATATATATTTAAATATATTATTTATTGCTTGACGCAGACTCACAGTTTTTCCATTATTTCATACAACACATCTACACACTGCATCTGACACACAAACGTGTTGCAACAGGGTTTGGAAAGCTCTGCTATAGTAGGTGATTTTAAATTTTAAACTCGTGCCCTTTGTTTAACCTTGGTTTTCTGTATTTTAATATATATTTTATAGAAATATGTTTAAATATGTATCTTTTACAGAAATACAATTCAATATGTGTATTTTTTGTATATGTTTGAATATGTATCTTTTATAGAAATATATTTCTATATGTGTATTTTTGGTGTTTTTACAATGTTTATGTATTTTAATTATTCTGTAACCCGCCTTGAACCATGCGGAGAGGTGGGTAAGAAATACAGTTATTTATTGTGTTTCCAACAGACTTCAAAACTTCTGAGGATTCCTGCCATGGATGTGCACGAAATGTCAGGAGAGAATGCTTTTGGAACATGGCTATACAGCCCGAAAAACTCACAGCAACCCATTATTATTATTATTATTATTATTATTATTATTATTATTTATTATTATTATTATTAGGAATCAAGGGGATACAGCCTCCAGATGTTTTGGACTACAGTTCCCAGATTGATAGGATTCGAAGATTTGGCCCTGTTAGGCCCCTTCTACACTGCCATATAATCCAGATTGCCAAAGCAGATAATTCACAACTGGATTATATGAGTCTACACTGCCGGATAATCCAGTTCAAAGCAGATAATTTGGACCTTACATGGCAGTATAGAAGGGATCTTGGTCTGGAATATCCGTGTGCAAAGTGATTGTGTCTGTTCTGTGAGAGAGAGTTCATGTGGTCACTCCTCCTTGGCTTAGGGTGCAACTACTACACTGTAGGATGAATGTAGTTTGACACCACTTAAACTGCTGTGGCTCGGTGCTATGAAATTCTGGGAGTTGCAGTTTTGTGAGACCCCAGTACTCTTTGGCAAAGGCTAAAAACCTTGGGTTGTTGTAGGTTTTTTCGGGCTATATGGCCATGGTCTAGAGGCATTCTCTCCTGACGTTTCGCCTGTATCTATGGCAAGCATCCTCAGAGGTAGTGAGGATGCTTGCCATAGATGCAGGCGAAACGTCAGGAGAGAATGCCTCTAGACCATGGCCATATAGCCTGAAAAAACCTACAACAATCCAGTGATTCCAGCCATGAAAGCCTTCGACAATACGCTAAAAACCTTGTAAAACTGCAGTTCCCCAGATTCCACAGCACTGAATCATGGTAGAATAGTGTCAAACCGTGTTAATTCTATGGTGTAGATCACTCTAGTTCTGCTCCAAAAGAGTTTGAAGGGGCTCAATGGGGCAAAGAGACCGCAGCCCGCCTAGAGCTCACTGCAGAATGAATGAAGTTTAACGCCCTTTCACTACCATGGCTGAATGCTATGAAATCCTGGGAGTTGTAGTTTGGTATGGCACCAGCCCTCTTTGGCAGACCATGAAAAACTACATCTCCCAGGATTATTGAACCATAGCCTTGGTCTCACACTGCTTTAATTCTGCAGTGCAGATTAACCACCGCGATTGCTACTCCTTTTGTGCAACCCCAAGCGCCCTTGTCACCGAGATCACATTTCCCTCCCATTCACAAGCCGGCCTCACGTTTCTTCCGTGGCTTACAGGGAAGCAAGGACGTCCCTCACAACTGCGTGTGCGCATGCGCGATGCTCCCCCTCCCGCTGAAAACGTCGCTTGCGTCACTGCTGAGCGCGAAAGAGAGGCCTTGTCATTTCCGGAAGAGGCGAAGAAAGCCAGTCGAAGAAGTGCTGAGGCAGTTGTTGTAATGGTGCCATTGACCTCTACGTGAAAGAAGGCCCTTTCCCCACATTTAATCACATTTATCTTCTTCCTTGAGGTTAGAAAGCTTGCCACGCATTAAAAGCAGGAAGGCAGCAGCCCATCTTATAAGGGATGTGCTTGATTTGAAGTTTGGGAAGATTTTCTTTCCCATATGGATTGAACCAAAAGGCCCCAAATCGTAATTCGGGATATGAGCCTTCCATGAAAGCAAAAGTTTGTACAGTCTGTAATGTGTGAATGTGAGCAATCTATTAATGTTACAGAGGAATGCAGGGCAAATGAATTGCAAACGATCTTTTTCGTTGAAGGCTTTCATGGCCAGAATCACTGGATTGTTGTAGGTTTTTCAGGTTGTATGGTCATTTTCTAGAAGCATTCTCTCCTGACGTTTCGCCTGCATCTGTGGCAGGCATCCTCAGAGGTTGTGGGGTCCTTGCACTCTCTGAGGATACCATCCACAGATGCAGGTGAAACGTCAGGAGAGAATGCTTCTAGAACATGGCCATACAGCCCGAAAAACCTACAACAACCCAACAATCTTTTTTAAAATTTAAAAAAAAATTATTTCAAAAAGATAATACACCAACCACATATATTGCAGAAATATACACATACATAGACAATCCGCCACCTACAGTACAGTCTTTTTATTTGGTGTTTAGTTACAACAGGAATTGGTTTATATGCCTGTCAATGCTGCTGCATGTCATGAATTCCATACTGTTGTTTTGAAAGTCTGGTTGTGCTACATTTAAACCATCATGATATGTTACATTTTAGTGAACCTTATCATGCATACTGTTTTCCAACATATCTCTAGGGGAAAGGTTTTCAAATATGGTTTATAAAAATATTGTTTTCATAAATAAAAGAAATGACTGTTCTGTAAACTGGAGGGACTTGGGCTACTCCAAAATTGTGAGGAAAGTTTGTAGGCATTTAGTAACAAAGAGTACTTAGTATACTAAATACAAAACATTCAAGCCTAACCATTCTTCTGAACAGCTTCCATATTTATTTCAAAATAATCCATGCATATGCATATATTCCTTTTCTGAGCATTGGATACTGATATTTTTATCGATTCATAAGTACCGCTTTTAGCAGGGAGGTAATAAAGGGGCCCTTAAGGACATCAACCAGAGAAAAACTCCTTGGCATGGAAGATGGCGTGACAGCACTCTCCCATGGCCAGAGTCAAGCACAGACACCAAGATGGCGGAAATAAAATGGGAAAAACTGCCTTTACCTCTGCTTATGTTGTCTGTTCTTAACTGTATTGTTGGCATTTAATGTTTGCTGTATGTGTGTTCTGTAAGCAGCTTGGGGTCCCCTTCGGAATGAGAAGGGTGGGGTAAAAGTGTATGAAATAAATAAGTAAACAAATAAGGGCAGGGTGTAAATACAGTAAATAGTTAAATAAATAGGAGCTGAAGCGATGAATTGCCTTTTAACTGTTAATTAAAAGGTAGAATAATTCAGTTAGGATATGGAATGACAATTTAACAACTCTTGATTATTCAAGCAAGTCTTTGCTCCAGTTGAGAGGATTCGACATTCTTCGATACTATGTCAGCTGAACAGTTTTTGTGTTATACAGAATCCATTGTGTCATCTACTTCTGTCTTTTTAAAACCTACTTTTTCTATCAACTTTTGTCTTTCCATTAAGCCTAGTTATTGATGCACCTAGTTCAAGGATTACAAACATGTGGGTTGCAACTATAATGTTTGTGACTTTACATGTTGCCCATTATGTAAGCAAGGCAAGAGGATAGTAAGCTTACGCATCAAACAGGTAGGTAGCATGCCTGTTAGGTTTTAAAAAATCCTAATAGAACAGTTGGTTCCATGGTAGGAGAAGTTATTGCTTTACTATTCTGTTAAGAATGTTTTTTATCCAGTGGACAGGGTTACCAGTTTGATGCCTGAGTTTGCCATCCTCTTAATGAGCCTGTTCTTTCTGTCAGTGGCCACCATTCCTTGCAAACATAGGGAAGGTTTATATTTATTTTATTTATTTATTTATTTGATGCATTTATTAACCGCCATTCTCAGCCCTTTAGGGCGACTCATGGCGGTGTACACACATATAAAAGACAATTTACAAAAAGGCAATTACAATTATATCACTCTGCCGGCCAAAAGAAGAATCAACCTTCTAAAAAGATAGATCAGTATCTAGAGGATATGAAATGTACAAAGTTCTCAAAGGAAATGAATTTAGAATTAAAATCATGTTGGATGAATTAGGTGGGGCTATTGATAAAGCTAAAATAATACCTGGTTAGCCTAAAAAGTCACCAAATCGCCCAGTTCCCTGCCTTTGTTTCTCCTTGGGAACCCATCAAGGTGTTTTGGCACCCATTGTTTCCTCAGCCAGGACCCACTGTGAAATCCCAGGTGACAGGATCAAATCCATCAGAGCCTATCAGCCCTGGATCTTGCCCACATTCCTTCCCACATGCACCCGAAGAAGGGGGCACAGAAACAGCTACAAGTTTCAAACTGAGCAATGAGGTTTTTTTTAAAAAAAATCCCGCCAGACAAGGAAACCAATCAGCTGCAGCAGTGTGCTTCCAGCAATCAGCACGCAGATTGCAACTTGAAGCAATCAGCACCCAGAGTGGCAAAAATTCATTATTTAAATAGCTGTCAAGTGTCTATTAATGTCTCTGTATGTATCTATTGCTTTTTTTCCGATCTGAGAGTACTTTTTCTGTGATATCCACTTTTGGCTGAAGTGATAAAACCTCTTGCCTTCACTCTGCCATGTCTCATTTCGAATTGGAGCTCAAATGCCGAGGACCTGTACCTGTGGTTCAGCGGAGCTGAAAAGACATCAGTCTCTATAACAAGGGCATATGTAGATGATATCTTTTTATATATAAAGCATTAGTTTTGTGTCTTTGATTTGGCTAGATTTATTGTTTTT